TAAAGGTGTGTACCAGTACCACATTGCTATAAAGGAATTCTTAAGCAGAAGATAATATTTTAGTGTGGATATTATTGCACACAAATTAAGTAAATAAATAACGACCTATGTAGACCAGGTTTCTGAATTGATTCTGAAAGGAAAAGTGAGACTCCATCAATTAGTAGAAAGAGACATAGCTGAAGCTGTGGTACCTTTTACTAATTCTGAAGTTGCTTTGTTATGGGCAGAAAATGGGCATTGGCAAAGAGCTTGCAGTAATTTCTTTTGGGAGAGATTAACAACAATATCCCCAAAGTAGGAGACTTCAGTTTATAAGAAGAACTAATTGGATTTAGATATTAAAAAGGACACCAATTTCTGGGGCCCCTACATTCTATACTGATGCAAATAAATCAGTAAAGGCATATATGTCTGGAAAAATGAGTAAAGTTGCTAACAGCCCTTGTGATTCAGTTAAAAAGTCAGGGCGGTATGCCAATCTTATGGCATTATGAGATTTCCCTGAATGTCTTAATATAGTTACTAACTCTCAATATGCAGAAAGTGTTGTTTTACACATTGAAACCACTGAGCTTATTCCAGATGATTCAGAATTATCTTTGCTGTTTATTCAGTTACAACAAGTAATCAGATACGGAAATCATCCCTTGTATGTAACACACATCAGATCCCATAAGAGTCTACCAGGACCTCTAGCACAGGTAATGATGAAACTGGTCAGCAGTTAACAGGGAATGTGCTAGAAGCCTCAGAAATTCATAAAAACACCATGTTACCAGAAAATGTTTAAAAAAGGTTTTTTTTTTTTCTGTCACTTGGCAACAAGCCAAGGGAATTATAAGGAAAGATCCCACTTGTTCTTTGTATAGCCAAACTCCATTACCTGCAGGAAATAACCCAAAAGGAACGCAAAGAAATGAATTTCGGCAAAAGGATGTGTTTTGTTTTGCAAGGTTGGAAAATGGCAGTATGTGCACCATATCATAAACATATTCAAGCTGACATGGGCAACTGGTCTGAGTTCTGACAAGGCTGGTTCTGTAATTACACTTACATCATGAGGATATCTGTGCAAATTAAGACAGACAGTGCTTCAGCAGATGTCTCCAGTAAAGTGAAACAGGGTTTTCCATATTACAACATAAAGCATATTACAGGTGTACCACACAACCCTACAGGACAAACTGTCATAGAAGGATCTAATCACACTTTAACAGTTATCCTTAATAAACAGAAAGGAGTAATAAAGACCCAGAGACAGATCACACAATGCTCTGTGAACTGTAACATTTTAAATGCTAACGAGGAAGTGATGTCAGCTGTGGAGAGACAGCGGGTAATAGAAACAACTGCCCAGTTAAGTCAGCCTGAATAAAGATGAGTTGACCTCAGAATGGAAACCCGGGTGTGTGTTCTGTTGGGGAAGGGGTTCTGCGTTTGTTTCCACAGGGGAAGAAAGCTGTGGATTCCATCAAGAAGGGCAAAGTTTTGATTTGAGCAGGAGAAACCTCTTGAGTATGAGAGGTGATAGTTCATCAAACATTATGGCCATTGGGTCTAAACTGACTTATAAGACTGACAAACGCCTTTCATTTGATCAGACAAAACCTGCCAAAATGGGAAATCCCTGAAGTTAGGGTTGGGGAAAGGTTTTGGTTTTTCTTCCCAGGAGAATAAAAGCAAGCATCTAATTAAGGAATCTGAAGACCATTGGACAGATGAGACGTCTGAAGAAGGATGAATCCTCAAGAGAGAGAGTAATTGACCTGATGGGATAGCACAAACCCAATAGGACAAATTCTCATAAATATTCCCAGATGTTTGTCTTTATATTCTCTACAGACATAAGGCAAATGCTATTTTTGTAGTCCCAGTTCAATTAAAAATTAAAGCTGTCTTTTGAGTTGGAGTGCGTCTCTCTTCGTCTCTAAACCCAAGCATGCTTGTTAAAGGAAAATCTAAAATCTCTGTCTTATGTCAGAAGAGTCACCTGCTGTGGGACAGAAGTTCAAGGCCAGCCTGGTCTACAAAGTGAGTTCCAGGACAGCCAGGGCTGTTACACAGAGCAGCCCTGTCTCGAAAAGCAAAGCAAAACAAAACAACAACAAAAGGACGTTGTTTGTGCCACACTTCCTGAATATTCAGGCAATGTTTATTCTTTTCTTGTCTCTGATGGGGTTAAAAATTAGATAGTTAAACCATTTTCTTTGTTACCAAATTCAGAAAAGTAACTTAGAAAAGAGATGTAAAGTTTATAAGGTTGAGAGACATATAAGCTTGAGATGGTTATCTTAGAAATGTCTAAGGTCTAAAAAGATAGTTTTAGGGTAGTAATAAAAGTTATGTTAGAAAGCGGTTTATGTATAAAACTTTAAGGTATCATAGATAATAGAGTAATATCTCAGAATTTTTCAAATACAAATGGATTGGATATTGTAGATGTAATTCTGTTTGATTTTTGTTTTTGTTTTTTGTTTTGTTTTGAGACAGGGTTTCTCTGCAGCTTTGGAGCCTGCCCTGGATCTTACTCTGTAGACCAGGCTGGCCTCAAACTCACAGAGATCTGCCTGCCTCCGCGTACTGAGTGCTGGGATTAAAGGTGTGTGCCACCACCACATATAAATGTAATTCCTACCTGATTATTGTTCTTATTGTACATAGTTTTACTATGTTAGAGTTAAAACTTTTCCTTTTTATGTAGACAAAGGGGAAATGTCGAGGGATATGTGATTGTACTGTGAAACTCAAGACTGTTAATAAAGTTATCCTTGAATCAGGGGGCGGAGTTAACAACCAGCTGTCTGGAATTAGCCATAGAGGTTTTGGAGGACCCAGGATACAACAAGAGAGGCAGAGAAAAGAGTAGGGCACGGCCTATAAAGATTCATGGGGATATCAATGTGGGAAGCATGGAGAGAGAGGATCAGCTGGTTTTTCTTCTGTTGCTTTCTTTTTTTCTTAATATTTATTTATTATGTATACAATAATCTGTCTGTATGTCTGCAGGCCAGAAGAGGGCACCAGACCTCGTTACAGATGGTTGTGAGCCACCATGTGGTTGCCGGAAATTGAACTCAGGACCTTTGGAAGAGCAGGCAATGCTCTTAACCACTGAGCCATCTCTCCAGCCCCCTTCTGTTGCTTTCTTGACCTATCAGGTTTTACCCCAATAGCTAACTTCTGAGATTTATTAATGATAGAACAATTTACATTAACAATTAACATAGCTGTGTCCCCCTATGAGGAGTAGATTTCCTCCACTCCAGTTAGAGACAGTGATAGACCAAGGAAAACATCCATCCATGGTCAGCTCAGTGAGCCCTGAGCTCACTGGTCCCTAACAGGAGCCTGGGTGAGTCGGGGATAACCACTGACAGCCACCCCAGTGCGCATGTCCGCTCACACAGCTGCACCACTGCAGTCCCCTGCACAGCTCCTAGCAGCTCCAGTCCCTCAGGAACTGCAGCTGGTTTAACCCTGAGAGGGAAGCGCTACATTGTGTCAGCTTCGTGAACCTGTAGCTTCTTGTGTTTCCTGAGCCTCATCAGCTCCTCCTGGCTCCAGCAGGGATGTTTCAGTCCAGAGGAAAATTCACAGTCACCTCTGTGTTCTACAGAAGCTCCCTTTGTTAACACAACCTCAGGTCAAGTGCTGGGCTGTCACGTGCAGCCCCAGGTCCCCTCACACTGAGGTCACAGTCACCTGACCTTTTCCCTCAGAAAGTCCCGCCATTTTCCCTTCATCTCTCTTCTTTGACAAGCAATCTTATATTTCATTTTTAATTTTTCTTCATTCTTCGTATACTTATTGTGCATGAATGTTATCTGTGGTCAACACTGGGACCCATCATCCCTCACAAGACAAAGATGGCAGCCCCATGACAGAGATGATCGCCTCCTTGGTCATCAGACATCTCTGCTAAGGCTCCTGGAGCTCCTGACTGGATGTCACAAAGCTAGAAGAGAAAACTGCAGAGGCCGGAACCTGGAGCAGGGAATGAAGGAATTTCCATCTCTGGCATTCTTCATAATCTTTTATTTTAATTTATGAATTTTGCATCTATGAGTTTTTGTTTTTGGGTTTTTTTTTTTTTTTGATAGTAGTGTTTGCACCATGGATCTGCATGGTGTCCACAAGCGCATTGGATGTCATGGAACAGGAGTTAAGGATGGTTATGAGCCATCAGATGGGTGCTGGGATCTTAACCTGGGTCCTCTGCAAGAGCAGCAAGTGCTCTCAAGCCCTGAGCCATCGCTTCAGTCCTTGGATCATGTTTTTTAATAAACATAAATCCTAAGTAAACTCAGCCTGTAAATCCTTGAGTCTCCACTGGAGGGAGCACAGGATTCCCAGAGGCAGAGAGAGAGAGGGGACCTTGGGCAGAGCACAGGAGAGACCTGAGATGAGACCCTGTGGATCCCTTCTCTCTGCCCATCCTACAACCTGGGTTAGATTCTGATAGATGGGAAAGAAGGGTAGGACCTCCAGGGAGGGGCCTGAAGGGAGGCAGGAGCTCAGGAGACTGAAGCTCATGTTCTCATCCCACAGTCTCCTGAGTGCAGGGACCTAGTTTGGCCTTGAGGGGTCAGGGACGGAAAACAGCTCTTACTGCTGTCACTCAGGGACCCCACAGAGTAATGAGGCAGACACCACTCACAGGATAAAGAACAGGCCTAGTCCTCCATACTAGCTAAAGAGACAAGAAATTAACAGAGAAGACAGGGGAAAGAGTCACAGCCAGGACAGCAGCCATGACTGTCACAGCAGCCCTGGCGGCTCATAATCCCAGGGACAGGAGGAGGCTCTGGCCATCCCAGTGTCCCTGTTTCACAGATGTCAGCATGAGGTTCTAAGAGATGAATAGAACGGAGCCAGGAGGGGACAGAGTTGACCAGTGACCTTGTCCAAGCCAACATAACGCACAGCCCTGTTCTCACTCAGCTCCCACAGCCTCATCCTGTCCCACCAGATGCACACAGCACAGTGAACACAGAATCTGGGAGGTTCTCCATGCTGCCATTTATTTCCTCCATAAACTCTATCTCAATCCTTTATTTTACCACCAATCAACCTTTGAGATCAAGGACATGGACAATCAAGTTCACATTCAGATTCTTATTTTCAGTGGGGAAGTCAGGACTGCAGCTCAGGACAGCATGGAGGAGACAGGATTGATATGTCCCCTCCTGTCTGCAGGAACATGAAGGTTGGCTGTGGAAGGGAACAGGGCAGTGCAGGGACAGGGTCAGGTGTGCAGGGTGGGCTGGGCTCCCCAGTTCTTCACATTGAGCCCATAGGATCACAGGGAACATCAGACACTATTGCTGAGAGTGAACTGGGGGGCTCTGGATGTCACAGGGGAGACCTGAACACAACGTCTGTCACTCCATCCACACCAGGCAGCTGTCTTCACGCTACAGAACAAGAGTCATGAACAATCACTGTGAAGACAACATCCCAACAACCCACCACACACTCAAAGGTGATTCTGGGAGTCCTTGAAACCCAATCATGTCCACTCTGCCCCTCCCCAGGTCAGGTCCCAGAGGGTCACCTTTACAGTCTGGGAGAGACACATCGGAGCTCTGGGAACTGTCCCTGCCTGGGGGTAAAAATATATGTATTCATGGGAAGCTAAAAATTTGGCCCCTAGAAGATTTTCTGCAGGCGCTATTATGTATTGCAAGAGCTCCCCAAATACATCAGCTTCCCCCCACAGGCCTCAGGGACAATTCTGCCTCCCACTCTTAACTGGAGCTGGAGCATAGTTTCCTCCTTTTCCACCTGTGAGAAGAAAAGCTGTGAGAGACCAGGGAAGTCCCCAGTCTAGGAAGTTTCCAGAACTGACAGCAGACCCAGGTTAGAGACAGCAGCAATGAGGGTGTGGATATGTTTCCCATTAATGAGGCAGAGATTCTTTTAAAAGGGACTGAGAGAGAACTCAGACCCTGCCCTTTCCTACCTGTGTTTCTCCTCCTCTTCCTCACAACCACCACAGCTCCAATGATCACAACTCCAATGAGAGCCAGACCAGCAATGACTGCCATGATGGGGTCCATGGACTGAGGAGGCTCTGGGAAGGGAAGAAGAACAGGAAGGGAAGGTGAGGGTCATGACCCTAGCTCTCAGCCCTGACCCTGCTCAGGGTCTGCAGAAGGCTCCAGCTTTCCCTGACCCCAGTTTTGCACCCACTCCCTCCTTACCCCATCTCAGGGTGAGGGGCTCAGGCAGCCCCTCATGGTACACATGTCATGTGTATTTGTGCTCCTCCCCAGAAGGCACCACCAGAGATGCCCACTTCTGGAAGCTTCCATCCCCAGAAGGTCTGGTCTCCACAAGCTCCATGTCCTGAGTCCGTTCCTCCTCCTCCCTCTGCCAGGTCAGGGTGATGAAGGCAGGATAGAAGCCCAGGGCCCAGCACCTCAGGGTGACATCACCTTTAGGTCCAGGATGATGGGTCACATGTGCCTTTGGGGGATCTGTGTGGAAAATTAAATCTCACAATAAACAAGATAAACTGAAATCTGTAAAGACAAAGTTAAATCACTGATGACACTGAACTATGTGTCTGTTTGAACACTACTGTCATCACACTAGTGACCTGCAGGTAGAGCTGGTCCCCTCATCACAGAACTGCAGTTTCCTGAGAAGACTCAGAAGCTAAGAGGGAATCCACAGAGCCAGCAGGTCGACATGGTCTTCTTATGTGATGTTCTATAGCATAAGTTAGGTAGGAAAAGGATGAAGGAATGGAAAATAATTAATTTATATATGTGATTAAACTCCTACAGGAGGGGTCTGGGGAGATGGCTCAGTGGTTAAGAGCATTGCCTGCTCTTCCAAAGGTCCTGAGTTCAATTCCCGGCAACCACATTGTGGCTCACAACCATCTGTAATGAGGTCTGGTGCCCTCCTCTGGCCTGCAGCCATACATGCAGACAGAATATTGTATACATATTAAATAAATAAACATTAAAAAAACTCCTACAGGAATAAGAAATTAAGATGATCGGGCTATATGAAGGGTGCTACCAACTCCTGCTGCCACCATTGGGGAACAAGCACTGTGGCCATCTTGCTGACTAGGTTAAGTGTGAGCCAAGTGAACAGCCATCACCAAACTGTGTGGAACAATTGTGGTGAACCTGTGAAACTCAGCCAGAGAGAAGGACTCCCCAAGCACTGCCTCTGAGGGACAAGATAGCAGGTATGGTCACCCAGGATCCCTGAAGTGTGCTGTGGAGCCCAGTGCAGCACTCACTGGGACACAGTGGTGCTCACAGGGTGTGTGGGTCTTCCCTGTCACTTCAGTCCTTGAGGTGCAGAAGACCCTGTCTCTGAGGAAGTCCCGTTCCTAATTCACTAGGGCAACACTGTAACTTGTTGGGTCAGAGGGAGAGCAGGGGGCTCTGGAAGGTTAATTCTGGCTGAAAATAGTCTAATCTCCCAGGAATCTTTCTCATTTAAAGAGATCACTGACTTAACTTGTCTAATTATCCCGAGTGTCAGTCCACATGACACCTGTGGAGACTGATACACAAGATAACACAGGGGAGGGAGAGAAGGAATACCGTCCTAGTGAGGAAGAAAAACTTAAAGCAAAATGACAACAAGGAGAGAGGGAGGGAGAGAGAGGGAGAGAGAGAGAGAGAGAGAGAAAGAGAATACAAGAAAGAAAGAAAAAAACACCCACAATTTACTATTTGTCCAGGGCACCCCATCTAGGAAGAGATAGAATTGGGGTGTGGGATGGATGCAAACCTGACACACAGGAATCTGTGAGAATTTATTCTTTGGAAAGTTCTAGAAACTGGGGGAAGCAGCCTAGGGTAGAGTGAGTCCGTGTCTCCCATCAGGTGAAGGAGACTCCGGTCCTGGTGTGTCAGGGCTGACACACTCAGATGACAGGACTCAGTGTCCACAGACACTGGGTGTGGCAGAGAACCCAGCCTGGGAGAGGCCATGGCTGACAGGGGCTGCAGACTGAAGGAGCCACTGTTGGTGATGTCGGGATCCTCTCTCCTCCCTCCTGAGACAGATGTGGAACTGTCCAGGGAGAAGGCTGAGCCCTGGGAGGTCAGTGCAGTCCCTGCCATGCTGGATCAGGAGACCCAGGACTCTATCTGCCCTCAGAGACAGGGGCATGACTCCAGTGAGGGTTTCCTCTTCCTCAGGACTGAGCCCAGCCCGAGGGCAGAGGGAGGAGTTGCCTGTGGCCCCGCACCTGTGCGCAGCAGCGAGTCCTTCCCGTTCTCCAGGTATCTGCGCAGAGAATGCACACACAGGCCCTCCAGGTAGGCCTTCTTTCTCTCTGCCTCCCCACCCTGCTCAAACTTGCATCTGGAGATCTGAGCCTCTGTGTCAGCCGCCGTCCAAGTCGTCAGGTCCTCGTTCAGGGCGAGGTAATCGCGGCCTTTGTAGGCGTACTGGTCATACCCGCGGAGGAGGCGCCCGTCCGACCCTAAGTCACAGCCTTACATCAGCTGGATGGTGTGAGAGCCTGCGGGGACTCCGCGGTCAGCCCCGCCCACCTGTTCAGCCCCGGGGTCACCCGAGGCCCCGCCCACCAGAGGTCAGCCAGCCCAACAGCCCTGCCCTGAAGCCCCGCCCCCTTCACCCAGGTCAGCCCCGCCCACCTGTTCAGCCCCGGGGTCACCCGAGGCCCCGCCCACCAGAGGTCAGCCAGCCCAACAGCCCTGCCCTGAAGCCCCGCCCCCTTCACCCACGCCCGCGGCCCCGCCCACCGCGGACCCTAAACCGAAAGGGAAACCGGGTCCGGTCCCCGCTCTCCTCGGACCTGGGACCCGGGACGACTTCGGCCCGCGCGTGGGGACGTGGAGGGGTCGTGACCTCCGACCGCGGTCACTCACCGCCCTCGCTCTGGTTGTAGTAGCCGAGCAGGGTCCTCAGGTTCTCTCGGAAACCCTGCTCGCGGTTCTTGGCGATCTGTGTGTGCCTCTCCCAATACTCCGGCCCCTCCTGCTCCACCCACGGCACCCGCGACTCCATCCTCGGAGTCTCCGCGTCGCTGTCGTAGCGCACGAACTGCGTGTGGTCCACGTAGCCGACGGAGATGAATCGGGGCTCCCCGAGGCCGGGCCGGGACATGGCGGTGTAGAAATACCGCAGCGAGTGCGAGCCTGGGGGCGGCGCGCGGTGAGACGCCGACCCTGCTCCCGGGACCCCGGGCAGGAGCGCGGGCCGGGAGGAGAGCAGGGCGCGGGGCCCGGGACGCGGGTGGAGAAGGGGCGGGAGGGTCCGGCTGGGCCACGCGGGGACGCGGCTTCCCCGGTGCCGCCCCCGCCCTCCCCGCGGAGCCCGTTTCCCTCCCGACCCCGCACTCACCCGCGCGGGTCTGGGTCGGGGCCAGGGCGGCCGCCAGCAGCAGGAGCAGCGTGCGTGGCGCCGTTGCCCCCATCTCAGATCTGCGGAGCGGAGACTCTGAGTTCCGCGGTCTGCGTGGACTTTATAACCGGTGACCACGGCGACGCTGGTTGGTTCCTCGGGATCTCGTCACCCAATGGGGGTGAGAACCGCCGAGTTGTCATCAGTGTCCGGGCAGAGGGATCTGACCCAGGTTAGGAGCAGGAGAAGTGAAACTGGGGACAGGGGAATCCCCAGCCTGGGCTTCCCCACCCAGACCTCACCCTCCTGGGGACTAAGACTTTGAACCCAGTGCTGCGGGATGGAGCGCTGTGTGTCATGGTGTCTCTGAGCCGCCTAAGGCCAACTGCTCTTCAGGTTAGTCAGGATGAAACCTGAGAGCATGAAGTTTCCAGGTAAAATACATACAGCACTTAAAATGAATGTTCACGGAAACAGGTGCTGTCGGAGTCCTGGAGGGTGCCGGGCTGCTGTGGACTCCAGCATCGGAGGTGACTGGGGTTTTTACAGCTCTGATTAAGCACTTTCGACACACTGTGTTATATGTGACTCTCCCTGCAGGAAGGAGGCCCTGCTCACCTCTGCTTTCACTTTCTACTTCAGTTGTGTGTGGCTGCGATTTGAACACAGCAAGTAAAAAATCCAGAGAAACAAAAAATTAATAAATTTAATTTTTCTTCACACTATTGAACCGAATGCGACCGAGACTATCCAGTGTGTACTGTGTCGTGAGAATGACCCTCTGTCCACAGTCTACATGAATGAGGAACTCAGAAGTCAACTGTTATCAGATCCAGTGTCCCTGTGACGTTCCCCTCTCTCATCTCATCAGCTCATAAAGTGAGAGCGAAGGTCAGAGAGAGAAGGGGAGAGAACGAGAGAGAGAGAGAGAGAGAGAGAGAGAGAGAGAGAGAGAGAGATTATGTAACTATCATTTTATTCTGCTTTATATTTAGTTACTCTTAACTCTTACTGACTGTGGTTTATTTCCTAAAGCAGCTGTACCATGGAAGTGTGTGCACACAGGGAAACGTGGAGTGTAGACAGGGTCAGTGCCCTGCTGTATTTGGTTTCCACAGGGTCTCTTCCCATGGAGAAGGGGTCTACTGGGCTGAGACAATGACCCAGCTCCACACGGACAATCTCAGGACTATGGAATGAAGATCTGTGTAAAACACAAGCACCTGGAGCCACAGATGATCATCTGGGAACAAACACTAGGAGTCTGAGTGTAAGCACAGGCTGTGAAGACACGATCCTGAGTGAAGAGCAAAGTCTCTACTTACAGGTGAGATCCTGAGCATGGGTCTTTGTTGTAAGGAGGCTGCTTGTTTGTTTCTCAGCCACCCAGACTCCTGAAATAATCTCACGGAAATCACATTATTTGCAATACTGTTTGTCCAATAGCTTAAGTGTATTTCTGGCTAACTTTTATATCCTAAACTAGCCCATCTCTATTAATTTGTGTATTGCCATGTGACTTTGCCTTACTGGGAAAGTTTTGGCATGTCTGTCTGGTGGCAGCTCCATGGCTTCTCCAAACTCCCCCTTTTTTTCTCCCAGCATTTAGTTTCCCTGCCTAGCTAAGTTCTGCCCTGCTATAGGCCAAAGCAGTTTCTTTATTCACTAACCAAAAAAACCAACACATAGACAGAAGGATTTCCCACAACACATTTTCCCTTTTCTGTTTAAATAAAAAGGAAGTTTATAACTTTAACATTGTAAAATTATATATAACAAAACAGTTATCAAGCAAGAATTACAGTTATAGTATTTATATCTCCTTTATCTTTTATCATAACTAAGGAAAACTATCTCTTTTTTTAATTTAGTTTTATTATTTTTAAGATTTATTTATTTATTTACTATATATACAGTGTTCTGCCTGCACGTATGCCTGCAGACCAGAAGAGGACATCAAATCTCATTATAGGTGGTTGTGAGCCACCATGTGGTTGCTGGGAATTGAACTCAGAACCTCTAGAAGAGCAGCCAGTGCTCTTAACCTCTGAGCCATTTCTTCAGCCCAATTACTATCTATTCTTCAACTCCATTTAAGATTCCAGAAGGATGTAATATTACCTAAGTAACAGGAAGTTCATTGTAAGCAACTTCCAAAACTGTAGAATTGACAGAGACATCTCATGCCTGGACGAAGTCACCCAAAGTTCTTCTGTATCACTGGGGTACCCATCTTCAGCCCACAGGCCCATAGTATCTGGCAGACTTTCCCATGAAGCAGGAAATTTCAAAGACAGTTCTGCCTGTATTAGCAGTTTGTCAATCAGTGTCCTGCAGAATGTCCGACAGGCTCTTCCATGAAGCAGGAACCCCAAAGGATCATCTCACCTTCCTTACGCAGTTTCAGCAGTCATTTTTCTGTGGGTCCTGCATGTTCAGTTCATACAGCATAATATCAAGGAGTCCAGGCAAGAGCAATCTCTTGCCCAAATGGCTAGCTAACTCCATACAGAGCCTCTTTGGTGCCAATCTTCCTCTTGAAGCTTTTGGTGCTTCTAAGTGCAGATGTGTCTCATTGTCATGAAAATCCTAAGCTCCTAAAACATTTCAAATGCCATATTCTGAAGGTCTCTGAAAGATCTGAAGAATACCTATCTAACGGAAATATATTTCTATATATTTAGAAAACCTAACTAACATGACTACAAGCTTGACTATTATAGATGATTATCAAGTAACCTATATTTCTTAATTATACACTACATTTTAAAATGAGCTGTACAAACATAATACCTTAACCAAGAGCAGAAATATAACAAAATTGACCTTAAATTTGTATCGATAGAGCAAGATCCATAGCAATGCAGAGTATCCACCTCCATAGCTTCTCCCCCTTTAAATGTAAACAAACAGTTATAGACAATATTTGGGAATATGGGCATAGTTCTCTCAAAAAGCTTCCTGCTTTTTGTCAACTGCCAGCTGTGCAAACAGTCCCGATGCAGATTTGGTAATGCGTGAGCATCACCTAGGTGGTACTGGTTTTGAGGGCATGAAGGAGTCATGGAGGCCAGGTGAGGTCTGCACTGTGAGAGGCCAGGAGAGGCCGTTGGTGAAGGTGCAGCCTCCGTGGCAGTGGAGGCCCAGGACTGAAGGGCTCATGACAAGGATTTGAGGCTTCGTACCACGAGACCCTGTGAGAGGCCATTGGTGAAAGTGCAGCCCTGGTGTTTTGGAGACACCAGCACCATGGAAGATCACCAGGAACAGCAGCAGCAGTGAGTGGAGCCAGCGGGGCCTAGAAGAGGAGCTGTGTTAGCTGCAGAGGGCAGAGCTGGAGAAGAGACCATAGCCCTTCGCAGGGGTCCAGATGGTTGTGAGTGAGTCCCAGACAACTCGACAGTGAGTTTTTCTACTGTTGAGATTGACTTTGCTTGGATTAAATTGGGACAGTGCCTAGGTTCTTCCCTCTTGAAGAAGGTATTTAGTATCTCTCTCTCTCTCTCTCTCTCTCTCTCTCTCTCTCTCTGTCTCTCTCTCTCTCTCCTTTTTCAAGATAGAGTTTCTCTGTTTAACAGCCCTAGGTATTCTGGAACTCGCTCTGTAGACCAGGCTGGCCTTGAACTCACAGAGATACACCTGCCTCTGCCTCCCAAGTCCTGGGATTAAATGTGCACCGCCACTTTTGAATTTTAAAGAATCCCATAGATGAAATACTTGAACATTTAAAAGAGATTTTGAATGTTTAAAGAGAATAGATATTCTAAAGAGACTGAACTTTTATTATGTTTGAATTTGTAAAGACTAGACTTTTAAAATTATTATGATTTTCATGTGAGATCATGTGAGAACGGGAGGGTTGTGTCTGAATAGTGATGGTTTTCTGTGTCAGGTTGACATAAGCTAGAGTCTTCAGAGAGGAAGGAGCCTCAGTTTAGGAAATGCTTCCATGAGATCCAGGTGTAAGGCTCATTCTCAATAGTGATTAGTGTGGGAAAACCCGGTCCACAGCGGCTAGGGACAGCCCTGGGCTGGTGTCCTGGGTTCTCTCAGACAGCAGGCTGAGTCAGCAAGCGGCTCCCCTTCATGACCTCTGTGTCAGCTCCTGCCTCTGGGATCCTGCCCTGTGTGAGCTCCTGTCCTGACTTCCTTCAGTGCTGAGCAGCAATGCTGAAGTGTGAGCCCAGTAAACCCTTTCCTCCCCAGCTTGTGTTTGGGTCATGGTGTTTCATCGCAGCAATAGAAACCCTAACTAAGACAGCACTGATACATAAAATGTAGTTAGATAAACTTTAAAAGAATTTCCTTTTTATTATATTGTCAGTTTATTAATAATCGTGTTTCTTCAAGTGAGAGTTTGAAAAAATAACTGTGAGACAAATTGAATTTGACTGTTTCTCTGTGGCCTGTGAACTCATGATTATGTTTAATGTCAAATGTCAAACAGTACGTTGTGCTTTGTGAAAAGATGAAATTCAAATTTCAGTATCCACAAATAAACTTGTATTGTAACCCCATGGTGTTCACAGATTTGTAGAGTGCGTATGGCTGCCTTGTTACCAACAAGACAGCACTGAGTTGTGAAGGATATACGTGGACAAGAATGTGTATTTGTTGTCACAGAAAAATTACCTGTCCTGGACAAAGTAGTAATTTTATTTAGTAACTCTACTGACCCTTGTAGAGTAGAAACTGGTGTCATGGGAAAGCTGGATTCCTGGTTGCACAGAGTAAGGTGTGCACAGCATCTGGACCAGCATCTCCTCCTATGCTCAGGCTGGGCACAGTGT